TAACCAACCAGCTGCTCATCCTGGAGATAAGGCCCTGTTAAGGACAACACAAAGCCCACTAATGGAATTTACACCTAGGCAGGGGATGCCCAAGGGCAGCCCAGACAGCCAGTCAGGTTGTGACAAGTTCCAGGTGGGGCAAAGGTCCTTGGCACCCAATAAAAGCAAGAACAAAGGCCCACAGGGCTCCATCTCTCCAAGGCCCCCTTCTTTGGCTCTCAGTGAGGCAGCCATCCGTCTTCTCCTCCGCTCCCTTTCCCCCTTTCCGAAGCTCCATCCCTCTAATTCATTACTGCTGCTGCGTTTACAGTCCCAGGGAGCTGCTTGGACAGCACTGCAGTGGGGCCGTAACCTCGAGGCGACAGCGGGGTAGGTAGGTGAGTGGACAGGTGGGCGGTGTGTGGACGGACAGGGGTTGAGTGAGTGGGTGGCTGCCTGGCTGGCTGGCTGGCTTGATGGATGGGCGGACGGACAGACAAATGGATGGACAGGTGGAGAGATAAGTAAGTACATAGGTGGAAAGATGGACAAGTGGATGGATGGTTCGGTAGACGGACAGGTGAGTGGGCAGGTAGGTAGATGAGACAGGGGGTAGACGGGTAGATGGGTGGATGGATGAGTGGGTGAGTGAGAGGGTAGATAGATGCACTCTGGCTTTTACCCTGCTGAGGCCACCCCTTCTCTGAGTTCTTTTTTTTTTTTTTTGAGACAGGATACCTCTGTGTAGTTCAGGCTGGCCTCGAACTCACAGCAATCCTCCTGCCTCAGCCTCCTGAGTGCTGGGATTACAGGCGTGCACCCTCATGCCTAGCATGAGCTGTATTTTACCATGATTCCCTCTATACATTAAGTACGTCACTTCCTCTATTGGACAGTAGCTCCTGGGAGCCAGACTTTGTCTTTCTCAGCCCCATGAAACCCTGCATACAGCAGTGGCTCTATAAATGCTTGCTACTTTGGATCAGTCCTAGCTCCTCCCACTCCCTCCCCTCTCTTTTCTCCCTCACCCGATACTTCCTCCTAAGCAACCCTGGCAGAGTTTTCAGGCAGAAATAAAGATAGCACTGAGCAGCCTCCGGTGAGGGTGGGCAGGAGAGAGCCGTCGGCCTGGCTCCAGCAGAGGGAGGGGCTGGGGGAGTAGAAGTGTGGGCCCCTGATTGGTCCTGGGCCGTCACAGGGAGGAGCACACTGAGCACCTGGGCCACATTCATTCTTCCTTCATGCCAGACTTCGGTGAGAACCTAAGCGGTGCCAGCCACTATGCCCAGGCTGGGGACCCTGTGGGAAGCATGGATGGCCTCAAAAGGGGCCTGAGGAGCTCCCTGAGGAGCTCAGGGGACACAGGGAAGCCCGGCACCCTCAGCCAAGCCCCAGCGTAAGAGAGGGACAGGGGAGTGCACGAGGTTTCCCAGGGGCAATAGCTGTCCCGCCAGGAAGGCGGCCCATGGGAGGACTCGGGTGTCACCCTAGGCAGCTAGACTCTGGGAGGCACTGCTGTGGTTTAGATCTAAATGTCCCCTGGAGTCTCCCGTGCTTGAAGGGGACTGGATCATGGGGGAACCATCCTCCGAGGATGAGTCCACTGATGGGTCAGCTCATAGCTGCCGTTCAGAGGTGGGCCCTGCCCAGGGCCGGTCACTGGGCGTGACCTGGAAGGTGTATTCTTGTCCCCACCTCTCTGCGTTTCCTGGCCACTATGGGGGTTCAATTACCCTCCACCGTGCCCTTTAGCCATACTATCTCCGCCTGGGGGCTGGGGATTTAGCTCAGCGGCACAGTGCCTGCCTGGCAAGCGCAAGGTCGTGAGTTCGATTCCCGGTACTGGAAAAAAAAACCAACCAACCGCCCCCGTCCCTGCCAAAAAAAAAAAAAAATAAAAAGGAAGGCTGGTTCAGGAGGCAAAGTGTAGAGTAGGAAGGGGCGTGTGGCGCCCCACGTGGGCTCCTCCCAGGGTGCTCTCCACTGTGAGTAGCGGTTGTTGCTGGGGTACAGGGAGAGAGCGTCCTGTCACGAGAGTGTGTAAGCAAGCGGAGTGCCCAGGTGCGCTGTCAGGAGGGCTGAAAAGGCATTACGCGCCTGGGTGAGGGGAAGGATTCAAAGGCTCCCTAACTTCTGAATCTCAAAGGCCTCCCAGCTTCCTTCCTCCGCCGCCGCCCACGTGCAAGCCCTGCCCCACAGCTGAGCTCCGAGGGCACAGCGCCAGCAAAATGTCAGAAATTTCCCCAAAACATGGAAGGAGGGGTTTTTGTGGGTTTTTTGTTTTTCCTCTGCGGCTTAACAGGAAGCAAAGGGTCAATAAAACTCCAGCAAGTGCCCCGCCCCCCTCCCAAGCGTCCCGCAGGTGTTCCTCGGCCTGGGGGAGGGTAAGTGGGGGAGGGCCCCCCCTCCTCAGGCGCAGCTTCTAAGTGGAGGGAGGTGGGGCCCACTGAGGAAGCCGCTCTCCCGCCAGCCCTGCCCTCCACAGCTGGTCAGAGAGGACGGACGGGACGCTCTGTCTCCCTCCTGGTGGCTGGGACTGGGGGCCCCGTGGAAGGCACAGAGTACCATGGGTCACATCACTCTGGGAGAAGCTGTGGGAACCAGTCCCCTTGCCCCCTGCTGGCCAAGGAAGCAGGCGGACACAATAGAGAGGGCAGCCCATAGGGACGGGCACTGGCCTGGGCTGAGAGCTTTGAAAGGCCAAGGAAGGAAAAGCCGGAAAGGCACCAAACGACCTTGCTGTAGGAACAAGCCAGGAGGCTGGGCGTGATGGCACTCGCCTGTAATCCCAGCACTTGGGAAGCTGAGGCAGGAGGATCTCCATGAGTTCCAGGCCAGCCTGGACTACTTAGCAAGTCCAAGGCCAGCCTGCCCGGCATAGCGAGCAAATAAAGAAATAAATAATAAATGCAAGCAATGAACATTCACTGGAAGGACGGCGTGCTGAAGGGAAAAGCAGATGAGAGGAGAGATGGGAGCGGTGTGGGTAGAGGGATGGGGGTGGTGGGAAGGAGACAGGAGGGAGATGTTCTGGACCAAACTGTGTCCCCCTCACATTCATGTGCTAAAACACTCACCCTCAGTGCATCTGTGTTCGGAGACAGGGATTTTAGGAGGTCACTGCGTGAGGTTAAACAAGGACAAGAGGGGAGAAGCTTAAGCCACTGGGTGGCGGCCTGTGCATGCCGAGGAGGAGGAAAGTGAGCGAGGGAGGGAGAGAGAGATCTCCCACCACAAGAAGGCCGCTGATGGCCTGCAAGGAAGAGAGCCGCACCGGAACCCGGATCTTGCAGGAACCTTGACCTTAGACCTTCCAGCCTCCAGCCCGAGGGGAAATAACTCTGTTGCTGACGCCAGGCGACTGTAGAATTTTGAAGCGGCAGCCTGAGCAGGCCCACTCATACCTCAGGTGGATGCAGGGGTGGGGGCCATGGAGTCCCAAGAACGGAGAGCAGCATGAGGACCCACCGGACCTCCACTTGAAACCAACGTGCAGCCATTCAGCAGGCAGGAGGGCCCAGCAGAATGCTGCTGTCCCCCTGCAGCTACTGGGAATCCTCCACGGAAGTAGAAAGGATCCGGTTCCTCCCGCAACCCGCCCCACCCCTGGCTGGGGCTCCATCCAGACCCCACAGGGATGGCGGCGGCCCCAGGTCTAGGGGCTCCTGATGGCCTGTGTGTCAGCGCCTGTCACCCCCCTGCAAGCAGCATGACGGGAGGACAGAGCGGTGGACAGGGGTCCCCACCCCGGGCCCGCAGGAAGCCCTCCAGACACGCTGGCCCACCGCCTGCCTCTTGCCGGGCTCCGAGGCAGTCACTTACAGCTCCCTCCCACCTCCTAGGTTACAGCCAAGACCTTGCCTCCCCCAGGATGACCTCTATTCGCGGAAGAGACCACAGCACCTCCTCGTCTCGGTCCCCACGCTTCCGTGGCCGGTGCATGGGCCTTGGGACTTTTGATGATAACCACAGGGGAGCGGAATGCCTCACGACCCTGTTCTCACCGCTCACCGCCTTGGGCCTAAGCATCCTTTGGAGAATGTTCCAGAAGGCTTTCCTGACCCCCTCCTGGGAGCCATCGCTGTCCTGGGGGAGGGCGAGCATCCCAGGACCCCAGCTCTCTCCCCAAGAGCGCCACAGTCCAGGTCACGTGGGACAAACACGAGTTCTGGGCTGGAGCAGAGGAGAACTACACAGGGTTTCCAGACCCAGAAATCAGGGGCCGTTGGGGGACACGGGCAGTCCAGGCTCTGGGGTCACGGGGCTCTGGGCTCCAGCCCCAGCCAGCTTCACATGTCCCAGCTCTGTGACCCCGGGCGAGTTACTGAACTGTGCAGGGTGCTCGCAGCCTCATCTGCAAAATGAGACTAAAATGGGTAACAGCAACTCAAGAGATGACGCAGCAATGCTGCTGAGGTCTCAGGCGAGCGTGTACTCGGCGAGTGTTCAAGAAGGGACAGCTGTGAGTTAAAACAAAAACTCACAGGGGGACTTTCGGCAGCAGCTGCAACAAACCCAGCGTCCGATTCCACCAGACCCGCTCTTCCACAGCCCCGAGGCTCCAGAACTTTAGGGATGGCTCTGAGAACACATTGCCAGGGAGACAGATCTTTGCACAAGGGAAAGGAACCAAGCGACGGAGGGAGAGAAGAAGGAAATGAAAAAAGAATTAAGTGGTGGTATGTGCGTGGACCAACCGCCCCCAAGCAAAATGATGCAAAAACAAAAAAACAAACAAAAAAAACCAATGTGATCATTGTGTGCTGCAAACACGCACTAATTTTTTTTTTCTTTTTTGGCTTTTTTCCGGTACCGGGAACTGAACTCACAACCTTGCGCTTGCCAGGCAGGCGCTGTGCCGCTGAGCTAAATCCCTAGCCCCTCGTGCACTAATTTTTAAAAAATGCATTGCCAACTAGGATGAAGACTATCAGGTGTTTTTCCCTCTCACCAATGCCCCAGAGGGTCATAACCTGAGGGCAAAGATTCCCCCCTTGTCCCCACCCCAGGCCCCCACTCACCTCTGGGGCAGCGGTAGCAGCATTGCCCCAAAGCCCTGTCGTAGTAGTGCTTGGGATCTCCGGCACAGGTGGGCGCAAGGGGTCGATCCTGTAGGATCAGAGAAGCTGGTGAGGCCAGGAGCACTCCAGACACCCACCCTCCCTCCAGCCGTCCCCTTCCTGGGAGGCCTGGTGTCCACCTGCAGCCAAGCTCAGGCCTGGGCCCAGTGCACATTACAGAAGGAAAATCAGGACAAGAACTCCCGAGTCCCCGTGTCCTCTAGCTGGGCCACCCCTGGACCATCAGCCCCACTGACCCCCATTTACTCTCTCCTGGATTAACGTAATTGCCTCACCTCTGTTCTCTGGGTCTGGCCCAGCACCACAAGTTTCTGGCTGAAGTCTAACACACCCACATGGAAAGGCACCCAGGCCCCCGGGGTATGGTCCCCCTGCACCCAGAACTACAGGAAGGACCTTGCCAACACCCAGCATGTGTCCTCCTGCCCCAAAGGTCCCCACTGACCCAACTTCCACAGAGCAGATCAGTTTTGCCTACTTTTGAACTTCACATAGGGTCAATCATACAATCTGTTCTCCTGTAACCGGTTTCTTTAATTCAACCTTATACGGTAAGAATCATTTGCACTCTTACAAATAGCAAGTGGCCCACTGAGATCATGGCTTTTGTATAGCTCAGGCTGGCCTCGAACTCTCTATAATCCTCCTGCCTCAGCCTCCCAAGTGCAGGGATTACAGGTATGTACCACCGTGCCAGCTTGTATGCTAAATTTGTACGCCAATTTTTTTTTTAAGTATGTTGTCTGACCTTTCTTGTTGCTGTCTTTATGTGTTCTAAGCACAAACCCTTTGAGGACTGCACCAACTAGAAGCAGCTTCTTGTGTTCTATGGCTGCCTTTCCATTTCTTTACTGGCATCTTTTGATGAACTGATGTCCTTAGTTTTAATACGGTACTGATGGAGACCACTAAGAGGCACATCTGAGCAGGACTTCTATTAACCAATCAGCTTTCCATGTTTTTTTTGTTGTTGTTGTTGTTTTGTTTTTTGGTTTTTTTTTTGGTTTTTCTCCGGTACCGGGAACCAAACTCACGACCTTGCGCTTGCCAGGCAGGCGCTTTTGCCGCTGAGCTAAATCCCCAGCCCAGGCTTTCCATGTTTACTTGTGAGTCACTGGTCCCTATGAGGCCTGCAATGGTGGGTGAAGCCATGAGGCCTCAAAGGACAAGACAAGGCCACAGCTGAGGACTTTCGGCTCCAACCCCAATTAACTAGAAGACTGTAGCTGCAGGCATCTCACTCCTCCAGTGAAAGCCTTCCTGGAGATAAGACAGTTCTCCTAAATTAACATAAAGTATTATTTGAAGAAGTCCTTAGAGGGATTCCCAAGTCCTGCCCAGATTCCTGCATTTTCTTCAGTATCCCCTTCCTTTGTTTGAAAACCAAATAAATACAGGCTGCCCAGGGAAGTCTTGGTCTTAACCCAGAGAATCTCGAATTCTGTAAGAGAGTTGGACCCTCCTGGAGCCCTAAAATCATTTCAATTGTCTCATTTATGTAAGCCTTCACCATCCATTCATTTGGGAGATTGCGGGCCTGATCAACCACAATAACTAAGGGTTATTAACCAGATATGATACAATTCATCAATCTTTTCTTTTTGAGTTCATGCCTTTTTTCCTCTTGAACCCAGGGCTTTGTGCATGCTAGGCAAGTGCTCTACAACAGAAGTCCACCTCCAACTCTTTTTACTATTTGTATTCTGAAACAGGGTCTCAATAAGTTGCCTGGGGTGGCCTGGAATTTGTGATCCTCCTGCCTCAGCTTCTCAAGAAGCTGAAGCCCTTTGTATCTTGTCTTAAGAAATGCTCTATGTCATTTAGATGTCCCTGCGTTGTCTTCTAGATGGTATAGCTTCAGCTTTGTATTCCGGAATCCTTCTCACACATGGGTATAATGGAGGTCTTGTCTTTTTTCAGGAAAGACTCCCCACCATGTTTCTAGGGCTCTTTGAACATTGAGCCCCATCATTAGATTGAAAAGAGGAAGCTCTCTGTTGGGGTCTGGGGAGGAATTTGGTCCTCCCTGGGGAACGACAGGAGAGCATACCGAAGCCCGTTCCGGTTCCGGAAGACCCATGATGGGGAACTCCAGGAGGAGAAGGAGCCAGGTCCCAGGGCCCTAGCTTTGCCTTCAGCATCCAAGTGCTTCCTGGCAGAGAAGATGGGCCAGCCGTGGGACGTGGGGCTGTCTGGTTTGGGGGAGCAGAAGCTTTCTCCCCTTGGTTGCCTAGGGGGCTGCCTGGCTCAGCTGCACACTTGGGAGAAGTGTGGAGACTGAGACAAACCCCGGTGCATTCAGAGAGCAACAAAGGGGCTGGTGTGGCCAGAAGAGGGCTGCGTGGGTGCTGGTTACATCATTCTTTCTCTCCCTCTCTTTTGTCATCTACAAAACCTGTAACCATACTAATTTGAAATGATCACATAACCCAGCATCTGGGGCCAGAGCTGGAGCTCAGTGGTAGAGCTCTGTCTAGCATGTGGGAGGCCCTGGATTCCACCCCAGCATCACCAAAACCAGTCAGGACAACCTCACATCTCCAGGCATAATCGCAAAGCATTTGTGTGTCTCCTCTCATTTCCTTGCTGCCTCTCAGGCGCAGGGAGCTGCCAGGACCTTGTGCAACCCTGGACCTGCAGCATCTCCCAGGTACATCCCTGCCAGGCTGCAAAGAGTGTGGGGAAATTCTGGCCCCCGCCCTGGGCTTCCCCTCCCTCCCTGCCCCAGCAGCTCATCAACAGCTATCAGGCCTAAGGGGGCCACAGCTCCTGGGGCCTGGGACAGCTGAGGGGGACCTGCTATTGTACGCCAACCTCCTGCCACCGTGGCCTGGGCCATGGCGGGGTGGAGGGACCGAGGAGAACTGACCTTGGTGCCTGCTTTTAACCAACTCCCCTTTTATGCGGTGCCCCAGCCCTGGGGGGCCAAACCCCTCATGTTACAGATGAGGAAACCGCTATCTGCCCAAGGCCACACAACAACTACTCAAAGAGAGGAGAGTGGAGCCCTGCTGTGTGCTACCACACCTGGTCACAAGCAGATTATGATTAAAAGTAAAAGGCCCAATGGTACTGAGAAAGACACTATGTCTGCTCTGAGGTATTCCTACCCAATAACTGGGATCAAATCCAAACTTTCTACAAAACAAGTGGCCTGAACGCTTTTAAAATGTCCGTGCATAGCCAGGTGTAGTGGCACACACCTGTAATCCCAGCACTCTGGAGGCTGAGGCAGGAGGATCACCATGAGTTCAAGGCCAGCCTGGGCTACATAGCACATTCAAGGCCAGCCTGGACAACATAGCAAGACCTTGTCTCAAAAACAAACAAAAAAAAGTCCAGGCATAAAGAGCTGAGGAATGTTCTGGAATGAAAAGAACAGAGCCATGATGGCTGAATGCGGTGTGGGGCTGGATCCTGAATGGGGCGTGAGAGGGATCGCCACGCTGGATACCATGGGGATAGGAGGGAAGGATTGAAGCGCACCTAACCTGCAAACGGTTTGGCAAAATAAAATAATACTGATACTATGTACGTGTGAAGGTGGCAAGAACTAAAGCAAGAATACAAAACCACGTGTGTAAATAATTGCACCCCAAGGGCCCGGATGTTGGGAAACGGGCGGCAACTTTGCAACCCTTCTGTTTGGCTGCAGTCTGCCACCAGGGGGCGCTGGCTTGCTCTCCCTAGAGGCCGAGGGTGCTCAGCCAGGGTATCCCACACCTGCCCTTGGCGGAGTAAAGCCAGTAGAGGACTGGGAGACCTATTTTCCACGTAGGGCCCAAGCCCCCCAATACCACAGAGCGGGTGGGCCCCTTGTTATTCCCAGACATGGACAGGGGGCCCAGGTGGGGACGCGACTCAGTCCCCTCCCCCAGTATCCACCCCAGATGCCTAGGGCTGCAGGACTGGGCTCCCCAGCAGGGCCACCGGGGAATTTTTGTTGCCTGTGATGTCATCGCTTTACAAGAATCCAGAAAACGGGGTCAAGTTCATTGACACCTGCTGTTGCCAAAGGGATGAGAACAGTTTGCAGACCCAGCAGCGCCAGCAGGCCGTGTTACCACGGCAACGGGCTGCTGGTGGCCAAGGTCCCTCTGCGGATCGCACTGTTCGGCCACTGAACGCATTGAGCGCACTCAGCGGCCCCCTGACCACAAGAGGCACAGCCCTGCCCTCCCAGGACACTCCGGGGTGCACCGCGGGCTCCGGGGCGCACCCTGGCAGGAAAGTCGGGTCCATGGCTCCTGCTCGCCGGGAAGAGAGAGGCGCTGGGACTTGGCCGTGCCCCTCGGCGGCAGGGAAGAGTGGGAGGGGGAAGCCCAGGCCCGCGGGGGGCTTTTGGGTGGGGTTCCCCGGCTGGCGGGAGGCAGAACGAGGGGTCCACAGGGGGCTGCGCTGCACAGACACAGCTGGCCCAGCCCGAGCGCGGCCAAGGTGAAAAGAGCACCCTGAAACCTCGCACCTCCGGGCCCCGATTTCAGGTGGCTTACGTTTTCCCTATGACTTGCTGTATTTCACTTTCAAAAAAGCCCCACCTGCTCTCAGCCGCAGGAGGAAAGCGCTGGGAACAAAACTCAAGACTCCTCAAAGGGGCTGGCGCGGGGCAGAGCGGGGTGAGTCCCGCCCCCACCGTGCACCTGACCCCCGGCGTCATCCTGGAAACGCGAAACCTCAAGCCCCACCCAGAGCCCGCGGACAGAATGGGAAGCTACGTTTGACAAGATCCCGGGAAATCGTATGTCCTTTAAAAAATGAGAGGCGCTGAAAAGAAGGAAAAGAAGAAAGTTATGAACGCTGGGTTGTTTGCTTCTGGCCACGAGTAATTCTAATAATCAACAACTATCGCCCCATTTTACACACGGAAAAATCAAGACGCAGTAAAAAAAAAGTTTACTTAATCAAGCCAGGCATGGAGGCACACGCATGTCATTCATCCCAGCACTCTGGGAGGCTGAGGCAGAAGGACTTAAAATTCTAGCCCACCCTGGCAACTTAGCAAAAGCCTGTGTGAAAATAAAAAAATAT